TCCCCTCAACAGGCAGGCCGTCCAGGTCCCTGAGCTAGAGACAAGCACACATCAAAAGAAGAAACATTGCACCCACCTGCCCTCTAGTCTACCAATACCTGGCCGCAGACCCCACCTTACCCGTCTCCTAGGCAACACCAGGCAACCATTCTGACTTACATCCAGCTCTGTCACAATCCCTCTCCTCTGCAAAGTCCTCCATCTCCCACCCCTCATCTCCTCCCTCCCGACCCTACCCTACACCAACTACCAGACACCATCAGGAAACATCTCTTTCTATTCTCTAACATCCCCAAGACCCTGTAAGGGCGTGGAACTCTCTGTATCCTCTGTGGACACACACCTACCTGTGGCAGGGCCTAGGCACACACAGGACTCACTCAGCTCTTCAAGAGATTCAAGTGGACCTAGGACAGGCAACATAGAAGCTGAGGGACTCTTAACACAAACACCAGGATTCCTGCAGCACACAACCACCCTATTCCAGGCATCCTCACACAAAATTCCCTCCAGGGGCCCAGATCCATGAAAGAGAAACAAGTGTCCATAGACAGAATGGGTCTGCCCACCAGCCTGCATAGAAAAACACTAACAAACATGAAAACACCCAACATCCCACATGCAGATTCTCAATTTCTCAGCTACCCTCTGGCTCCCTGTCCCCCCAACCATCTGTCTATCCTCCTCTACCTCCAATTCCACCTCTTTCTCTGTCTTTTTCTATCCCTCCTTCCTATGTACACTCTAATCCTGGTCTTCAGGGTAGCTAGGCCATGTTCAGTCGGGAAATGCTTTGCACTCCCCAAGAGGAAGCCTTGCTTCAATATGCACCGAAAGCCTACAAAGGCCCACCTCCACACTCCTGACATCTTCCATGATGGAGCCTAGAAGAAAATCACTCACCCTGCCACCTGGAGACAAGCCTGTCTATGCTCTTCCAAATCTTCCTCTCTACAAAGCTCCTGGAGACATCTGCTGAGGCTAAAAAGGCAGCTTCCTGGTGCTTGGGTTGGGGGTGGAGGCCCTGACTTCCTAGACCTGCCTGGCAGGCCACTTCAAAGGACAGTCCTGCCACTTTCTGGACGGTTCCTACACAATGCTCTCATCCACCATGCCCCTACTCGGCCTTGAGTCCCAAAACACACACAGGACGCACCACTCCAAACCTTGTGCTCACCTGAGCTGGAGCTGAAGGATGGAGCCCTAAAAGGTTTCCCATACATGACAACCTGTCCTTCTCTTTCAACCTGGACTGATGACCATAAAACCCTTATATACTCTGCCTCTTAGGCACTGCGTATGGGCCATCACAGGACTAGGACACAATAAACCCAGGCACACACAAACACACCAAACACACACACACAACCAACACACACACACAAACAAGTGCACCTGCGTGCTCAGCAGTTCTTGGAATCTAGATAGAGCCCTCTGTTAATTTCAGAGCCTTCTCTATGTATTCTTCCTGCTGAGATGACATCTGGACAGGGGAGTGCAGGACAAGGGGATCTTCTACCTTTGACCCTGGGAGTTCTACCTGGATTTAAGGCAAGGTGAGCTAGGCAGGAGAACACAGGAGTATGCGGCCTGCATGTGTGTCCTGAATCCTAAAGAAGACTTGTCAGAGGAGGCAGGGACCTGGAATCCTGGGCCCCATGGTACCTAAGTCCTGCCTGGCCTCTTTGTGAGCACCCCTGAGCCCAAACCCTGCTCTGGATGCTTCTACTGGAATTCACCTTCAGCGACCACACCGCCTTGTGCTCTGGGCCCTCTGGGTATACACAACCAACTTGCACAGGATGATGATGGGGTGCTTCCCAGAGTCCTTGTAGGGTTCTTGGCATGTGGCTCTGGAGCTGGAACCTTTTCTGACAGATCCCAGTCTCTAAATTTCACCTGTAGCACAGCTCAAGGGGAAAGAAGCCATTTGTAAAAGAAACAAAAGGCAAGCCAGAGTGAAGGCCTGGCAGCCAGAGA